GGTCTCACTGACCTCTGTGATCTCTCTGACACTCTCTAATTTCTCTGATACCCTCTGATCTCCCTGATTTCTCTGACACTCTCTGATCTCTCTGACACTCTCTGGTCTCTCTGACACTCTCTGGTCTCTCTGACACTCTCTGGTCTCTCTGACACTCTCTGGTCTCTCTGACACTCTCTGATCTCTCTGGTCTCACTGACCTCTCTGAAACTCTCTGGTCTCTCTGACACTCTCTGACACTCTCTAGTCTCGCTGACACTCTCTGATCTCTCTGGTCTCACTGACCTCTCTGACATTCTCTGGTCTCACTGACCTTTCTGATCTCTCTGACACTCTCTGGTCTCACTGACCTCTCTGATCTCGCTGACACTCTCTGATCTCTTTGACACTCTCTGATCTCGCTGACACTCTCTGGTCTCTCTGACACTCTCTGGTCTCACTGACCTCTCTGACACTCTCTGATCTCGCTGACACTCTCTGATCTCGCTGACACTCTCTGATCTCGCTGACACTCTCTGATCTCTTTGACACTCTCTGATCTCGCTGACACTCTCTGATCTTTGACACTCTCTGATCTCGCTGACACTCTCTGATCTCTCTGACACTCTCTGATCTCTTTGACACTCTCTGATCTCGCTGACACTCTCTGATCTCTCTGACACTCTCTGATCTCTCTGACACTCTCTGGTCTCACTGACCTCTCTGATCTCGCTGACACTCTCTGATCTCTCTGACACTCTCTGACACTCTCTGATCTCGCTGACACTCTCTGATCTCTTTGACACTCTCTGATCTCGCTGACACTCTCTGATCTCGCTGACACTCTCTGATCTCGCTGACACTCTCTGATCTCTTTGACACTCTCTGATCTCGCTGACACTCTCTGATCTCGCTGACACTCTCTGATCTCGCTGACACTCTCTGGTCTCACTGACCTCTCTGATCTCTCTGACACTCTCTGATCTCGCTGACACTCTCTGATCTCGCTGACACTCTCTGATCTCGCTGACACTCTCTGATCTCGCTGACACTCTCTGATCTCTCTGACACTCTCTGACACTCTCTGATCTCGCTGACACTCTCTGATCTCTCTGACACTCTCTGACACTCTCTGATCTCTCTGACACTCTCTGATCTCGCTGACACTCTCTGATCTCTCTGACTAATAAGAAGTCATCTGTCACCATTACATCTTATTGAAGTGTGAATTTCCCGTCTTAACAGCCAGATGTTTGGTCGGCATGGTGTGAGCTGTGAGAATGTCTGGCGGTAACAAGCCCCGAGGTGGTGATAAGGAGGACACATGGAGGACGGGCGCAGCAATAAATATCTGGATGGGGGGGGGTCCTCGTCAGGGACAGACAATGATATACCAATGGAAATCACCCCAGGACATAAAACAGAATTCTGCGATGAGTGTGACAACAAATACAAAGACAACATATTTCTCACTCATCTGACGTTAGTAATCTGGTTCCTGATTGGCTGCACCCATATGACATTTTTTTCACACAAACAGAGCATTCTTTTGGTGGCATTTAATCACTGCTGGGGGGGGGGGGGGATATGATTTTTTGCACTATAAACGGAAAAAGAAAACATTTTTGAAAAATGTCTCCTTCGCTGTTGTGCGTTGATGAGGCTGAACTGATAGGCAACACTGATGGGCACTAAAAGGCTGCACTGGTAAGGCAGCACAAATGAGGCGGCACTTGTGGACATTGATGAGGAGGCACAGATGATGCTGCACTGATATGCGGCACTGATAGGCCGCAATGATGGACACTGATAGGTGGCACTGAAGGGCACTTATAGGTAGAACTGAAGGGCGCTGACTGGTGACATTGATTGACGGGCAGAAATTGGAAGCACTAATGGGCAGCACTGTTGGGAACTGATAGGCAGCACTGATAGGCAGCACTGATGGGCAGCACTGATGGGCAGCACTGATGGGCAGCACTGATAGGCAGCACTGATAGGCAGCACTGATGGGCAGCACTGATGGGCAGCACTGATAGGCAGCACTGATGGGCAGCATTGATGGGCAGCACTGATGGGCACTGATAGGCAGCACTGATGGGCAATGATGGGCAACATTGATGGACAGCACTGATGGGCAGCACTGATAGGCAGCACTGATGGGCACTGATAGGCAGCACTGATGGGCAGCACTAATGGGCACTGATGGGCAGCATCGATGAGCAGCACTGATAGGCAGCAGTGATGGGCACTGATGGGCAGCACTGATGGGCAGCACTGATGGGCACTGATGGGCAGCACTGATAGGCAGCACTGATGGGCACTGATGGGAAGTGCCAGTGACTGTGACAGTAAGAGGAAAGTACTGATAGGAGGAGAGAGCAGAGTGACAAAAGGATGATCTCATCTCCGTGCTGCTTCTCTTTTCACAGTCCAGTCACTGGCTGGGGGGGGGCGGGTCCACGACAGCCGGGGCTCAGAGGAAGTAGGTTGAATTACACTGGATGTCGTTAACCTGGAAGGACTTCTTGTGGTGGAAGAGAGGTACTGCATGAACACCTCCAGGGAATATTCGGTCGTTAGCCACGCCCTCTGCTCCCTGCATAGTGACTGCACTTCACTGTTCCTCACTACTAATGCGAGTCCCTCATAGAGCTCAGACGGCCCGGACAGGACGCACTGCACGGCCGATTGATCTTATTTCAGCGCCCATTTACAGGTCTATACAGCTTTATACACACTAGAGGGCACTAGAGGGGAAATCTCAGGACTGAAATATGGGACAGCAAACACATAAAATCACAACGAGTGCAAAAAAGTCCCCAATTTATTTCTTGCTGACAACTGACAGAGACGGCGTGGGGGTGTCCTTGGTTGTCGGTGTCCCTACAGGGCCCCCCGAGTCCCTCCACACGGGGACTGAACAAGCCTGCTGCTAGGGCACCGTGGAAGGAAACCAGAGGAGGATGCAGCAATATGGAGGGACATACAGACTCCATGCAGACGCGCTCCTCTCCACAGATCAGCTTCAGGAAGGACAGACTGTTCCAGCGAGGGGGGGGGGGCTCCTTTAAGTCGTCTTCCCGTGGCTGGAATCAGAGGATTTGTTTTTCCACCTCGATGTCTTCATTCTTCACCTCTGCCGAGAAATTTCCATCCTCCCCGAGCATCCTGCAGCATCCCAGCTGCAGCATCCCGGGGGGGGGGGGGGCGGGGGGGGGTCATCTTAGACCAAGGAGATGGAATGTCCCGTCCCACTGCCCCCTACAGGGTAGTAGTAGTAGCTTTGCTAACTGTTCATAGAGAGGGATGGTGGGAACCCCTCATAATGGGCACAGCAGGTGTACAGACCCAGGAACTCAGCACAGGGATGGTGGGAACCCCTCATAATGGGCACAGCGGGTGTACAGACCCGGGAACTCAGCACAGGGATGGTGGGAACCCCTCACAATGGACACAGCGGGGGGTGTACAGACCCGGGAACTCAGCACAATGATGGTGGGAACCCCTCACAATGGGCACAGCGGTTGTACAGTGCGGGAACTCAGCACTGGGATGGTGGGAACTGTCATAATATACCCTCTAGGTGCTACAGAGTGGGAACAGCACAGGGATGGTGGGAACCTCTCATTCTATCCTCAGACGAGTGTTTACTGGGAAATCTCAGAAACAGGGGATTTGTAACCCCTCTAATGGCTGACAGAACTGGAGAGCCAGCCTGCCATCACTGTTTTCTGCCCGGCAGGTGCCCGGTACATCCTGTGGCCCTCTGCTATGTGTTCAGTGATGTGGCCCTGTGCTGTGTTCGGTTTGTGGCCCCTGGCTGGGCTCGGTGATGTGGCCCCTGCGCTGGGTCGGTCCCTGTGGCCCCTGCGCTGTGCTCGGTGATGTGGCCCCTGCGCTGTGCTCGGTGATGTGGCCCCTGCTCTGTGCTCGGTGACGTGGCCCCTGCGCTGGGCTCGGTGATGTGGCCCCTGCGCTGGGCTCGGTGATGTGGCCCCTGCGCTGGGCTCGGTGATGTGGCCCCTGCGCTGTGCTGGGTGATGTGGCCCCTGCGCTGGGCTCGGTGATGTGGCCCCTGCGCTGGGCTCGGTGATGTGGCCCCTGCTCTGTGCTCGGTGATGTGGCCCCTGCGCTGTGCTCGGTGATGTGGCCCCTGCGCTGGGCTCGGTGATGTGGCCCCTGCGCTGGGCTCGGTGATGTGGCGGCTGGTAAATCTTCCCAGAAGGTAGCTGGAACGCGGAACGCTCATTAATATGTGGAAAGTTGGACGCGGCGCGGCGGATCATCCATCCAAGGATTGCACATCGCCAGGTCACCGCGCAGCCAGCCGCTGCCGTCACCTTTTTATAGACATCGCAGATCCAGCCGCTCCCGACTGCCAAATGGAATGTCTCAGCTATGGCGTCAGGGGGCGGAGTCACGAGCGCCGTCACATTTCATCAAAGGAAATCCGCGCCGAACATTAGCTGAAAATGCAATAAAAGTAATTCCTTCAATCCCAGGAAATGCATCGGATTCCTGCATTCCACACAAAACCGGGGGCAGGGCGGAGGGAGGAGAGAGGAACTACAAATACCAGCAGATCCGCCACCCAGAGAGTCAGATCTGTACATCTTACATCAGAGGGGCCCTCAGAGACATGAATCACCCAAAATGACCCCATTATTACCCCCCCCAAGTCCTGCCCCTTCAGTTTCGCACAGGTGTACCGGCTCCTCCCCTCCAGTCTTGCACAGGTGTACCGGCTCCTCCCCTCCAGTCTTGCACAGGTGTACCGGCTCCTCCCCTTCAGTCTTGCACAGGTGTACCGGCTCCTCCCCTTCAGTCTTGCACAGGTGTACCGGCTCCTCCCCTTTAGTCTTGCACAGGTGTACCGGCTCCTCCCCTCCAGTCTTGCACAGGTGTACCGGCTCCTCCCCTCCAGTCTTGCACAGGCGTACCGGCTCCTCCCCTCCAGTCTTGCACAGGCGTACCGGCTCCTCCCCTTCAGTCTTGCACAGGCGTACCGGCTCCTCCTCAGTCTTGCACAGCTGTGTACCGGCTCCTCCTCTTCAGTCTTGCACAGGTGTGTACCAACTCCTCCCCTCAGTCTTGCACAGGTGTACCGGCTCCTCCCCTCCAGTCTTGCACAGGTGTACCGGCTCCTCCCCTCCAGTCTTGCACAGGTGTACCGGCTCCTCCCCTTCAGTCTTGCACAGGTGTACTGGCTCCTCCCCTCCAGTCTTGCACAGGTGTACTGGCTCCTCCCCTTCAGTCTTGCACAGGTGTACTGGCTCCTCCCCTTCAGTCTTGCACAGGTGTACTGGCTCCTCACCCTCAGTCTTGCACAGGTGTATTGGCTCCTCCCCCTCAGGCATGCACAGGTGACCTGGGCTCCTCCCCCTCAGTCGTGCACAGGTGACCCCTGCACTCTGCATTACATACTCCTGTCCTTTCATGCATCCTCCATTAATCCCCGGTGATCCTGCCACAAACGTCCTTGTTTATTCACTTCCTGTTATAGGGTGACAACGCTCTGACTCCCAATTTTACCTCACCTCCCAGATGGGGGATACAAGGGCAGCTTTCAGCACTCATTACACAGAGTCCACTGTTGTCACCCTTAGTGGGCCGGCCCTCAAGAAATACTAGCCAGCCATCTCTGGAGGGCAGGAAGTGGCTGCAAAGAGGCTGCAATGAGCTGCAAAAAAGGATGGAAAATGCTGAGAACGCAGCGAATTGCAAATTTACAGAGCGACTTGATGTGACTTTGCTGCGACTGGACAAGTGTGATTTTGCTGCGACTGGACAAGTGTGACTTTGCTGCGACTGGACAAGTGTGACTTTGCTGCGACTGGACAAGTGTGACTTTGCTGCGACTGGACAAGTGTGACTTTGCTGCGACTGGACATGTGTGACTTTGCTGCGACTGGACAAGTGTGACTTTGCTGTGACTAAACGTGTGACTTTGCTGCGACTGGACAAGTGTGACTTTGCTGCGACTGGACAAGTGTGATTTTTTGCTGCGACTGGACAAGTGTGACTTTGCTGCGACTAAACGTGTGACTTTGCTGCGACTGGACAAGTGTGACTTTGCTGCGACTGGACAAGTGTGACTTTGCTGCGACTGGACAAGTGTGACTTTGCTGCGACTGGACAAGTGTGACTTTGCTGCGACTGGACATGTGTGACTTTGCTGCTGCGACTGGACAAGTGTGACTTTGCTGTGACTAAAGTGTGACTTTGCTGCGACTGGACAAGTGTGACTTTGCTGCGACTGGACAAGTGTGATTTTGCTGCGACTGGACAAGTGTGACTTTTGCTGACGACTAAACGTGTGACTTTGCTGGACAGTACTGGACAAGTGTGACTTTGCTGCGGACTGGACTTTGCTGCGTGTGTGACTTTGCTGCGACTGGACAAGTGTGATTTTGCTGCAACTGGACAAGTGTGACTTTTGCTGCGACTGGACAAGTGTGACTTTTCTCTGACTGGACACGTGTGACTTTTCTGCGACTGGACAAGTGTGACTTTGCTGTGACTGGACATGTGTGATTTTGCTGCGACTGGACAAGTGTGACTTTTCTGCGACTGGACAAGTGTGACTTTTCTGCGACTGGACAAGTGTGACTTTTCTGCGACTGGACAAGTGTGACTTTGCTGCGACTGGACACATGTGACTTTGATGCGACGTTGGCTTTGACCGAGGATGATTGTTTCTGCTGTACGAAGTCGCACACAAGTCGCATGTACAACATTCAGTTGCGATTTTCATGGGACTTTGCAGGGTTTGCATTAACGTATATGGCCCTCAAGTCGCACAGATACGAAGGGTACTCATTGGGAAACATGGGGTGCGACTTTTCATGCGATTCTGGACCCCAAAGTCACATGACAAGTCGCACAAGTGTGAGTGGTCTCTGTGTAGAACATCTGGGGTACCTTGCCATCGATCCTGGCTGTGCCGCCCAATCCAATCCGGGTGTTTCGGGGCGGAAGGGTAAATGCGGGCGCAGCGCTTGGCAGTGAGGGCCCGGCGTGGGATTGGTCCGTCATCGCTGAGCTGAACCCGACGCGAGTCTCACGTCCCCCATGGCTGCCTGCAAGAGAAGGAGGAGATCGACCCGTCACTGATACATTGTTACTGGCGATACAAACTCCATGCAGCTGAGGAATGATACATTGTGCTACTCACTGACAACCGAGAGAACAAGCCCCGCCCAGCCCACAGCAGGCATACCTATCTGAATGCCAAGCCCCGCCTCTTACAATACATGTGTGCCAAGCCCCGCCTATTACAATACATGTGCACCAAGCCCCGCCTATTACAATACATGTGTGTCAAGCCCCGCCTATTACAATACATGTGTGCCAAGCCCTGCCTATTACAATGCATATGTGCCAAGCCCCGCCTATTACAATACATGTGCACCAAGCCCCGCCTATTACAATACATGTGCGCCAAGCCCCACCTATTACAATGCATATGTGCCAAGCCCCGCCTATTACAATATGTGCACAAGCCCCGCCTATTACAATACATGTGCGCCAAGCCCCACCTATTACAATGCATATGTGCCAAGCCCTGCCTATTACAATACATGCCCCAAGCCCCGCCTATTACAATATATGTGTGCCAAGCCCCGCCTATTACAATACATGTGTGCCAAGTCCCGCCTATTACAATACATGTGCGCCCCCCGCCTATTACATGTGTGCCAAGCCCCGCCTATTACAATACATGTGTGCCAAGCCCTGCCTATTACAATGCATATGTGCCAAGCCCCGCCTATTACATGTGCACCAAGCCCCGCCTATTACAATACATGTGTGCCAAACCCCGCCTATTAAAATATATGTGTGCCAAGCCCCGCCTATTACAATGCATATGTTCCAAGCCCCGCCTATTACAATGGCATGTGCCAATCTATGTGCCAAGCCCCGCCTATTACATGTACGCCAAGCCCCACCTATTCCAATACATGTGTGCCAAGCCCCGCCTATTACAATACATGTGTGCCAAACAGGTAATTCCTACTGGAGTTCTTGTTTCAGATACGTCACCGGTCACACCACAACGATTTAAAATTGCGCAATTCATGTGCAATTTCAGTGCGATTTCTGAAGACTTTGTGGCAACTTTCAACGATTTCTTGCAATTCCATTCTATTCTACGTCTGTGAAATCGCAACAAAATGGCAGAAAAAGTCACGCAAGAATGACTTTATAAAATGGCGCTGCAGCAAATCGCACGTGTCAAGGCGCTGACGTTCACATTCATGAGATGCGATTTCTGGTGAGATTTATGAAGACTGTGTTGTGACTTTCAACGATTTCTTGCGATTCCATTCTATGTCTGTGAAATCGTAACACAATAGCAGAAAAAGTCACGCAAGAACGACTTTAGAAATTGCGCCGTAGCAAATCGCACGTGTCACGGCACTGACGTTCACATTCACGAGATACAATTTCAGAGAAATTTCTGAAGACTTTGTTGCGCCTTTCAACCATTTTTTGCGATTCCATTCTACGTCTGTGAAATCGCAACAAAATGGCAGAAAAAGTCACGCAAGAATGACTTTAGAAATCGCGCCGCAGCAAATCGCACGTGTCACAGCGCTGACGTTCACATTCATGAGATGCGATTTCAATTCACAAACCGCACCCGAAATCGCGGGGGGGGGAGGGGAGCATGCAGGGCACACACTTGCTCTATACATATGTGATCTCTGCTTCCCGCTGAGTAGTGACTGAGCTTTACTGTTTTCATCTCACTCCAGAGATACCAGAATACTGAGACCGAGTAACAAAAACACACAGAAGAGCGACCAGAGAAGAACAAATAATCAGAAAAAAGAGCAAGTGGTCCTTCACATCTGCCCCGCCCCCCCCCCCCCCCCCCCCACACCCTTTTTTTTTTTTTTTTTTTTACAAAGCATGCATCAAATATTTGAAACCATCCCCTCCATCAGCGGATGATCCAGTAATCTCACCCTAATGGGACATCGATGGAGGGAAACATTTTACAGATTTGATATCTAATTTAAAAGAAATAACAATAAAATATAATAAAAAATAAATGATATAAATTATGGAGCAAAAAAAACGACAAAATATAAAAGAAGCCTAAAGATTCCCTTTCAGACGAACATCGAGAAGAATTCAGAGATTTGGTGAAGACGCCTCGCAGGTCCTTCTCAACCCGTCGCAGATCTCCGGCACCGGCTGGCATCACCTTTATCATCGCAGAGAACGCAAATACTTTCATTCGATTAGGAAGAATCCGGCTCCTGCGAGTCACCGAGGATTTCTAATTGGATTACAGGGAACATTGGAGGATCCGCTCTGTGCCGCCGCCGCGGCGTTCATTTATTTATGAGCAAAAGGAAAATCAGAATCTGCTCATCACTTCCTCCAAACTGCAATCGACTAATACGAGAGGACGCAGCAAGACGCAGAAAATAACGAGGACGCGGCAAGACACAGAAAATACGAGGACGCGGCAAGACGCAGAAAATACGAGGACGCGGCAAGACGCAGAAAATACAAGAGGGCGCGGCTAAATGCAGAAAATACGAGAGGGACGCAGCAAGAAGCAGAAAATACAGAGGAGAGGGCGCGGCAAGACGCAGAAAATACGAGAGGAGACAGCAAGACGCAGAAAATACGAGAGGACGCGGCAAGACGCAGAAAATACGAGAGGATGCTGCAAGAAGCAGAAAATACGAGAGGAGGCAGCAAGACGCAGAAAATACGAGAGGATGCGGAAAGACGCAGAAAATACGAGAGGACGCGGCAAGACGCAGAAAATACGAGAGGACGCGGCAAGACGCAGAAAATACGAGAGGACGCGGAAAGACGCACAAAATACGAGAGGACGCGGCTAGACGCAGAAAATATGAGAGGACGCAGCAAGACGCAGAAAATACGAGAGGACGCAGCAAGACAAATATAAAAGAGGCAGCAGAAAATACGAGAGGAGACAGCAAGGCACAGAAAATACGAGAGGACGCGGCTAGACGCAGAAAATACGAGAGGACGCGGCTAGACGCAGAAAATACGAGAGGACGCAGCAAGACATATAAAAACCGAGAAGACAAAGAAAATACGAGAGGACACAGCAAGACGTAGAAAATACGAGAGGATGCTGCAAGAAGCAGAAAATACGAGAGGAGGCAGCAAGACGCGCAGAAAATACGAGAGGACGCGGAAAGATGCAGAAAATACGAGAGGACGCGGCAAGGCGCAGAAAATACGAGAGAACGCGGCAAGACGCAGAAAATACGAGAGGACGCGGAAAGACGCACAAAATACGAGAGGACGCGGCAAGACGCAGAAAATACGAGAGGACGCGGCAAGACGCAGAAAATACGATTGGACGCGGCTAGACGCAGAAAAATACGAGAGGACGCTACAAGACGCAGAAAATACGAGAGGACGCAGCAAGACGCAGAAAATACGAGAGGACGCAGCAAGACGCAGAAAAAGAAGTCAGAAAATACGAGAGGACCAGGCAAGACGCAGAAAATACGAGAGGAGACAGCAAGGCACAGAAAATACGAGAGGACGCGGCAAGGTGCAGAAAATATGAGAGGACGCGGCAAGGTGCAGAAAATATGAGAGGACCAGGCAAGACGCAGAAAAATACGAGAGGAGACAGCAAGGCACAGAAAATACGAGAGGACGCGGCAAGACGCAGAAAATACGAGAGGACGCGGCAAGGTGCAGAAAATACGAGAGGACGCGGCTAGACGCAGAAAATACGAGAGGACGCGGCAAGACGCAGAAAATACGAGAGGATGCGGCAAGGTGCAGAAAATACGAGAGGGCGTGGCAAGGCGCAGAAAATACGAGAGGACGCGGCTAGACGCAGAAAATACGAGAGGACGCGGCAAGACGCAGAAAATACGAGAGGACGCGGCTAGACGCAGAAAATCCGGGAGGACGCGGCAAGGTGCAGAAAATACGAGAGGGCGCGGCAAGGCAAGGTGCAGAAAATACGAGAGGGCGCGGCAAGGTGCAGAAAATACGAGAGGGCGTGGCAAGACGCAGAAAATACGAGAGGACGCGGCTAGGCGCAGAAAATACGAGAGGACGCGGCTAGACGCAGAAAATACGAGAGGACGCGGCAAGACGCAGAAAATACGAGAGGACGCGGCAAGACGCAGAAAATACGAGAGGACGCGGCAAGGCGCAGAAAATACGAAAGGACGCGGCAAGGTGCAGAAAATACGAGAGGGCGTGGCAAGGCGCAGAAAATACGAGAGGGCGCGGCAAGACGCAGAAAATCCGGGAGGACGCGGCAAGGTGCAGAAAATACGAGAGGACGCGGCAAGGTGCAGAAAATACAAGAGGGCGCGGCAAGGTGCAGAAAATACGAGAGGGCGTGGCAAGGCGCAGAAAATACGAGAGGACGAGAGGCTAGACGCAGAAAATCCGGGAGGACGCGGCAAGGTGCAGAAAATACGAGAGGACGCGCGGCAAGGTGCAGAAAATACGAGAGGGCGCGGCAAGGTGCAGAAAATACGAGAGGGCGTGGCAAGGCGCAGAAAATACGAGAGGACGCGGCAAGACGCAGAAAATACGAGAGGAGGCAGCAAGACGCAAAGAGCCAATGAGATCTTCCAGAGCCAGCCATGTGATTATTCAGAGCCAATGAGATCTTCCAGAGCCAGCCATGTGATCACTGAGAGCCAATGAGATCTTCCAGAGCCCGGCCATGTGATCACTGAGAGCCAATGAGATCTTCCAGAGCCAGCCATGTGATCACCGAGAACCAATGAGATCTTCCAGAGCCCGGCCATGTGATCACTGAGAGCCAATGAGATCTTCCAGAACCAGCCATGTGATCACCGAAAGCCAATGAGATCTTCCAGAGCCCAACCATGTGTCCACTGAGAACCAATGAGATCTTCCAGAGCCAGCCATGTGATTACTGAGAGCCAATGAGCTCTTCTAGAGCCCAGCAATGTGATCACTGCGAGCCAATGAGGTCTTCCAGAGCCAGCCATGTGATCACGTATGTTCCCGCAACACACAAAAACGTACATCCCTCTTGCAGATGTGGCCATAAACCGGTTGAATTGCAAAAGAATTTTCTTTCTAAAATCAGAAATTTTGTGCATTTTCTAAATATATCCTCAGTGACACCAATACAGTGATCAGGGCTAATAAAAAGGCAGTGACTCTGTACTGATGGCACTGAGCAGGAAGGTGTTAACACGTGGAGCGATCAAAGGGATAACTGTGTGCTAGGAGTGTTTTACTAGGGGGCGGGGTCTGTGTTACTAGGGGTGGGGTCTGTGTTACTAGGGAGACCTTCTGTGCAGAGAGATACAAAGCAGCATGTCCTTGCTGACAGGAGAGAGACCCGTGTTGTCTACATACAGACCTCTCCTCTGTCAGTTTTACTCGGCGATCGCCGGGTGCCGGCGGGGAATCATCGGCTGGTGATTGACATCTGTAGCTGCCAATGGCGGCGCAGGTAGGGCGTGCACTCGCCCTCTACTGAAAATGAAAATCGCACATACCTATATATATATATGTGACTTTGCGCAGCCCTGCACCCCTGTAGCAGTATTTCGGGTAACTGGTTAAATCATCGGATCGCGTTGAATCGTCTCCAAATTCCAGGAATGTTGGATCGCCCGTCGGCCTCCGAACCCATCCCTCACATAACGCCATGGCGTCAGACTTTCCCCGCATTACAACGGCGATTTCTGGATCACGCCGCGCATTTTGGCCGACAAATCTTCACACCTTCCCCTCCGACAGCGGCGGTGTGAGATAAGCCAGCGGGGGGGGGGGGGCGCCATGACCCGCTCTCTTCTGCAGATGACGGAACGCGGCGCAAACAAATCATTAAAATGAAAAGAGCGATCGGCTGGCTGGCGAATCCTCTGCGCTCGCTCAGGTCTGGCGTCACGGCAACGTCTCCAAATATTTTTTTTTTTAATTTCCCTGAAAATAAAGGAGATATTTGGGAGAAAGATCACAAAGTGCTATTTTCGGATGAAAAATCGTTCGGAATTCGAACCGTGTATGGCCTGCATTAGACCCCGGTCACACCACGTGATTTCCATGCCATGTGACTTTCATATCGCGTGGCGAGTCGCATCCTGTTGTCCGCAATTACAGCGGTCGCATCGGCGCGATTCTGACTTGGTCGGAACCGCACCGATTTCTAAAGCAGCGCACGCGCCACTTCAGGTGCGACTTTCATAGACGTCTGTGTCTTGCAAGCTGCAGATGTCTTGTAAGTCGCGCCTCAAGTCGACTTTGAAATCGACTTACACCCCGGCCACATCGATCCTGACTTTGAGGTCATGCGACTTCACTGTAAGTCGCACAATTTCAAAGTCGGGATGTCATTGCGATTTGAGGTGCGAATTCCAGACATCAGACACAGACATCTGTGCAAATCGCTCCAAATGTAGCACATGGACCACTTCAGAAATCGGTCAGAATCACGCCGATATGACCGCTGTCATTGCAGACAATAGGGTGTGACTTGGCATGCGATTTCCATGCCAAGCGACTTTTAAATCGCATGGCGAGTCGCACCCAGGAATAGAATAGAAAACAATAGAAAAGATCGAACTTTTCTTCAACTATTTGGATCGATTTGATCTGAATCCAGTCAAAAGCGAATAAATGAAACAAAAGGAAATGAAATGAGTAACTTCACGAAACTGATATGAAACAAAAACAACTTTATCGCTCTTCACGCGACCGACGACAAGATCTCTTCAGAGACGATTTTCCGGCTCAGCGATTCATTTCTCTGTTATGATGAGAAAGTAAAAAAAAAGAAACAAAATATTATTTGTATCTACAAAAAAATAACTTTCTGCAAAGACGATGAATGACAAAAATGCGGAAGAAGATCGACTGGCCAATGAGATGAAGGAGGAGGATGAGCGGAGATCCCGCGGATCTGACAAGACGGAATATTTGCGTTCTGTTTACGGGAAGCGGCGAGGAAACATTCCACATTTTTAGTTCCCGGATCAGAAGACGAGAAAAACAGGAATTTCTGTGAAATTTAGAAAATGTTCCGGATCAAAAAATTCCCGAGTATGTGGAGCGTACCGAGACCGGCCGCCCTCCCCACCGACATTCCGATCTGAGAACCGATCAATCGATCGATCAATCAGGGGTCTGAGTGTCATAACCCGCAGGGACTTTGTCACTGCTCAAAACTCCCTCCAACCTCGTTCCCCCTTCATCACCCCTCTCCCACGGCCCCACCACTGCACTGACCCCCACTCCCCCCCACCCCTACATTCCTCATACTGAAGCCCCCCCAACACTCCGCACCTTTGACCTTACTACCATCGAGGAAGTCTCCAAGATCCTCTCTGATGCCCACCTCACCACCTGCCCCCTCGACCCTATCCCCTCACAACTCCTACGACCTCCCTCCCCCTCCATCCTACGCTCCCTCACCCACATTTTCAATCTCTGCCTCTCCTCCGGCACTTTCCCCTCCCCTCTGAAACATGCACACATCACCCCCATACTTAAAAAGCCCCCCCTGGACCCCAATGACCCGAACAACATCAGACCCATCTCCCTGCTTCCATTCACATCTAAACTCCTCGAGCGCCTCGTCTACACCCGCCTATGCTCTCACCTCAACGACAACAACCTCCTCGATCCCCTACAGTCCGGCTTCCGTCCCCTACACTCCACCGAAACCGACAACCGAAACCGCCCTACACTCCACGAAACTGCACCGAAACCGCCCTACCACACTCCACCGAAAACCGCCTTACTCAAACTCTCCCGAAACCGCCTTACTCAAACTCTCCAACCTGCTAACCGCCAAAGCTAATGGCCACTACTCAGTGCTCCTACTCCTCCACCTCTCTGCGGCCTTCCACACAGTCCACCACCCCCTCCTCCTCAAAAAACTACACTCCCTCGGCCTCAGAGACTCCGCCCTCTCCTGGCTCTCATCCTACCTATCACAACACTCTTTCAGCGTTACCTATAATGATACCACCTCCCCCTCACTGTTGGGGTCCCTCAAGGCTCTGTCCTCGGGCCCCTTCTCTTCTCCATCTACACCTCCTCCCTTGGCCAACTCATACACTCTCACGGCTTCAACTACCAGCTCTATGCCGACGACACAAATCTATCTCTCAACCCCCCACCTCACCCCCTCAGTCTCCGCCAGAATCACACACCTACTGAGCGACATATCAGATTGGATGTCGCTCCACTTCCTTAAACTGAACCTCTCCAAAACCGAGTTTCTTGTCTTCCCCCCCCCGGCCCGGACCACCCCCGCATTGACTTCTCCATCACATCCAACAACGCCACCATCAAACCCGCCCCGCAGGCCAGAGTACTTGGTGTCATTCTGGACTCCAACCTATCCTTCCAGCCCCAAGTCCAATCTTTAACAAACTCGTGCAGACTCCACCTCCACAACATGCAGACTCCACCTCCGCAACATGCAGACTCCGCCTCCGCAACATGCAGACTCCGCCTCCGCAACATGCAGACTCCGCCTCCGCAACATGCAGACTCCGCCTCCGCAACATGCAGACTCCGCCTCCGCAACATGCAGACTCCGCCTCCGCAACATGCAGACCCCCTCCGCAACATGCAGACTCCGCCTCCGCAACATGCAGACTCCCCCTCCGCAACATGCAGACTCCACCTCCGCAACATCGCCAAAATCCGCACGTTCCTAACCCCAGAAACCACTAAACAGCTCATCCACTCCCTCATCATATCACGACTCGACTACTGCAACTCCCTCCTCACTGGCCCGCCTCGCCGCTGGCTATCCCCGCTTCAGTCCATCCTGAATACGGCTGCCAGACTCATTCACCTTTCCAACCGCTCCATCTCCGCCACCCCCCCTCTGCCAATCCCTCCACTGGCCTCCACTCAGTGTCCTCCACCCCCCTCTGGCAATCCCTCCACTGGCCTCCACTCAGTGTCCTCCACCCCCTCTCTGCCAATCCCTCCACTGACCTCCACTCAGTGTCCTCCACCCCCTCTGCCAATCCCTCCACTGACCTCCACTCAGTGTCCTCCACCCCCCTCTGCCAATCCCTCCACTGGCCTCCATTCAGTGTCCTCCACCCCCCTCTGCCAATTCCCTCCACTGGCCTCCACTCAGTGTCCTCCACCCCCCTCTGCCAATCCCTCCACTGGCCTCCACTCCCCCTCTGCCAATCCCTCCCTCTGCCTCCCTCCAGTGGCTCCACCCCCCTCTGCCAATCCCTTCACTGGCCTCCATTCAGTGTCCTCCACCCCTCTCTGCCAATCCCTTCACTGGCCTCCATTCAGTGTCCTCCACCCCCCTCTGCCAATCCCTTCACTGGCCTCCATTCAGTGTCCTCCACCTCCCTCTGCCAATCCCTCCACTCAGTGTCCTCCACCCCTCTCTGCCAATCCCTCCACTGGCCTCTACTCAGTGTCCTGCATCCCCCTCTGCCAATCCTTGGCCTCCACTGGTCCTCCTCCCCTCAGTGTCCCTCCACTGGCCCCACTCAGTGTCCTCCACCTCTCTACCAATCCCTCCACTGGCTTCCACCCCCCTCTGCCAATCCCTCCACTGGCCTCCACTCAGTGTCCTCCATCCCTCTCTGCCAATCCCTCCTGGCCACATTCAGTGTCCTCCACCCCTCTCTGGTGTCCTCCACCCCTCTCTGCCAATCCCTCCACTGGCCTCCACTCAGTGTCCTCCTCCCTCTCTGCCAATCCCTCTGCCAATCGGTGTCCTCCACTTGCCTCCCTCCACTTGCCTCAGTGTCCTCCACCCCCCTCTGCCAATCCCTCCACTGGCTTCCGATTGCGCAACGGATCAAATTTAAAATCCTAACACTGACGTACAAAGCCGTCCACCATACTGCCCCGAACTACATCACCGACCTGATATCCAAGTACCGCCCAACACGCACACTCCGCTCCTCACAAGACCTCCTTCTCTCTAGTTCCCTGGTCTCCTCCTCCCATGCCCGTCTCCAGGACTTCTCCAGGGCATCAGAAAAAATGAGGAAGGGTTGTAACAGCGCAAACACTGCAAAGTCCTGGGAAAATGGTAGTATGGGTGATGGTGGTATTAGTGGCTACTGTATGAAGAGCGTAGGATTCCGTGTGGCACTGAGGGCAAGGCTTCCAAATAAGCTGTAGCAACTTCTGTAGATGAGAAAAAGGAGAGAAGCGCCTCTAAGTGCAATAAGTCTTTTAATTCAAGTCTAAATGTAGAAACACTCACATGTGTGAGTCATCCTAAGCATAAAAAACCGTGGTTACCAATAGTTACCGGTGGGGTGGTGACCCGGGTGAAGAGCCGTCATCTCTCTGCGATGTGGGGAGGTCAGCTCTCGGCTGGAACAGCGTGGTGGCTGGAGGGGGAACAGCGGTGAGGCCGGCCTTCATGCACGTCCTCCCTCAAAGCCGGATGGAACGCACGCTGGAACGTAGCGGCGGCGTGGCCGTGATGACGTCAGATCCCAGGGTGCACTGTGACGCGTTTCGGAGCATGCACTGGCCGTGGAAGGCGGAAGTGCACTCCTTTTTCAAGCAGGTCGAAAAAGGAGTGCACTTCCGCCTTCCACGGCCAGTTGACCTCCCCACATCGCAGAGAGATGACGGCTCTTCACCCGGGTCACCACCCCACCGGTAACTATTGGTAACCACGGTTTTTTATGCTTAGGATTACTTCACACATGTGAGTGTTTCTACATTTAGACTTGAATTAAAAGACTTATTGCACTTAGTGGCGCTTCTCTCCTTTTTCTCTTCTCCAGGGCATCACCCATCCTCTGGAACTCCCTGCCCCAACCCATCAGATTATCACCTACTCTCCTCTCCTTTAGGCGCACCCTGAAAACCCATCTCTTCAGGGAAGCCTACCCCACCCCCTGCTAACCTGCCGATCTCCTCCACTCTTCCTACCACCCCATCCCCCACAGCTATCTCCTCCTGTACCACCATCCCCTCCCTCCTAGATTGTAAGCTCCAAGGAGCAGGGCCCTCGATCCCCTCATGTTTTGCATTGTATTGGTATTGTTCTGTCACATGTTCTGTCCCCCTTTGTAATGTACAGCGCTGAGCGAACTATGGGGGCTTTATAAATACTGTATAATAATAATAATAAAGGGACAGCACAGAGTCTGCGGAGTGAAGAGACATTCGGGGGCAGGGCGGACTGACCATTCGAGCACCCGGGCACTGCCCAAGGGCCCAGGGTCAGTAGAGGGCCCCATGAAATGCCCCTGGTACCTTTTTTATTGGGTGTGCTTTGAGTGTGGGTAAGGACATTGGAGCCCCATGATCCCCTATTTCCCGGGGGCCCCATGAGTTGTCAGTGCGCCCCTGTTCGGGGGTCTCCGGATCTCAATCTCCCGCTGGATACAGAATGAAACAACCAGAATCCATCATTTCCTGCGGCTCCGGACCTCCTCTGCTGCGTTTTATTCAGTTCCTCGCACTCTTGTTGGTGTCTCCGGGGTGAGGAGGGAGGTGCTAGATGATGCTGGACGTCCTCCAGCCAAGAAATGAGGCGGTGCTCTATGTGACTGGCTGCAGCTTCTAATGCACATTGTGAGACGCTCCCAGTGTGCAGTGACATCAGAGGAAGCCATGTCAGTCCAGGGGAGGAGCCAGTACACCTTGCAAGTGAAGGGGAGGAGCAGGTACACCTGTGCAAGACTGAGGGGGAGGAGCCAGTAAACCTGTTCAAGACTGAAAGGGAGGAGCTGGTACACCTAAGCAAGACTGAGGGGGAGGAGCCGGTACACCTGTGCAAGACTGAAGGGGAGGAGCCGGTACACCTGTGCAAGACTGGAGGGGAGGAGCCGGTACACCTGTGCAAGACTGAGGGGGAGGAGCTGGTACACCTGTGCAAGACTGGAGGGGAGGAGCTGGTACACCTGTGCAAGACTGAAGGGGAGGAGCCGGTACACCTGTGCAAGACTGGAGAGGAGGAGCCAGTACACCTGTGCAAGACTGCAGGGGAGAAGCCGTTACACCTGTGCAGGACTAAAGGGGAGGAGCCGGTACACCTGTGCAAGACTGAGGGGGAGGAGCCGTACACCTGTGCAAGACTGAAGGGGAGGAGCCGGTACACCTGTGCAAGACTGAAGGGGAGGAGCCGGTACACCTGTGCAAGACTGGAGAGGAGGAGCCAGTACACCTGTGCAAGACTGCAGGGGAGGAGCCGGTACACCTGTGCAGGACTAAAGGGGAGGAGCCGGTACACCTGTGCAAGACTGAGGGGGAGGAGCCGTACACCTGTGCAAGACTGAAGGGAGGAGCCGGTACACCTGTGCAAGACTGGAAGGGGAGGAGCCGGTACACCTGTGCAAGACTGCAGGGGAGGAGCCGGTACACCTGTGCAGGACTGAAGGGGAGGAGCCGGTACACCTGTGCAAGACTGAGGGGGAGGAGCCGGTACACCTGTGCAGGACTGGAAGGGAGGAGCCGGTTCACCTGTGCAAGACTGAAGGGGAGGAGCCGGTACACCTGTGCAAGACTGGAGGGGAGGAGCCGGTACACCTGTGCAGGACTGAAGGGGAGGAGCTGGAACACCTGTGCAAGACTGAAGGGGAGAAGCCGGTACACCTGTTCAAGACTGAAGGGGAGGAGCTGGTACATCTGTGCAGGACTGAAGGGGAGAAGCCGGAACACCTGTGCAGGACTGGAGGGGAGGAGCCGGTACACCTGTGCAAGACTGAAGGGGAGGAGCCGGTACACCTGTGCAAGACTGAAGGGGAGGAGCCGGAACACCTGTGCAAGACTGAAGGGGAGGAGCCGGTACACCTGTGCAAGACTGAAGGGGAGGGGCCAGTACACCTGTGCAAGACAGAAGGGGAAGAGCCGGAACACCTGTGCAGGACTGAAAGGGAGGAGCCAGTACACCTGTGCAGGACTGAAGGGGAGGAGCCGGTACACCTGTGCAGGACTGAAGGGGAGGAGCCAGTACACCTGTGCAAGACAGACAAGGAGGCCGGAGGGAGGACATGTATTTGCGGACAGACAGCTGCTGTTCCATATTTCCATGATTGTGCCCCATACACATAATCGTTCTGTCTTCTTCTGGTGGCCGACGGTGTCACTCTGCAATCACTCTCTGGGATTAAAAAACTAAACAGAAGCTGACACACGAGTAAAGGCACAACGTTTTTTGGGGTGTCGGGTACTGCACTGCCTATTGGCACTGAAACCAATGCTGGGGAATATTATTGCATCCACTGACACCAATGCCGGGGGATATTATTGCATCCACTGACACCAATGCCGGGGGATATTATTGCATCCACTGACACCAATGCCGGGGGATATTATTGCATCCACTGACACCAATGCCGGGGGATATTATTGCATCCACTGACACCAATGCCGGGGGATATTATTGCATCCACTGACACCAATGCCGGGGGATATGATTGCATCCACTGACACCAATGCCGGGGGATATGATTGCATCCACTGACACCAATCCTGGGGATATTATTGCATCCACTGACACCAATGCTGGGGGATATGATTGCATCCACTGACACCAATGCCGGGGGATATGATTGCATCCACTGACACCAATCCTGAGGGATATTATTGCATCCACTGACACCAATGCTGGGAGATATGATTGCATCCACTGACACCAATGCTGGGGGATATGATTGCATCCACTGACACCAATGCTGGGGGATATGATTGCATCCACTGACACCAATGCTGGGGGATATGATTGCATCCACTGACACCAACGTTGGTGTGGAAATGCTCTGCTATTGTGTGGCCCTCTGGAGGTGTTGGGGGCGCACCTGAGGCTCCCTAGACCCTCATTCCTAGTCCCCGGGGGACACACAGAGGGTAAATCTCCCCAATGGGGGGGGGGGGGGGTCACAGACAGCAATACAAACCTGACTGGGTGGGGTCTGACCCCTCCCCCTCCACCCTAAAATACAAAACAAAGGTTTGGCTACAGATATACTTGAATGAGAAGAGTGATGATTGTTGGCGATACGACAAGCATGGAGCTGAGTGACACCGGAATACCATAAGCTCCGCCCTCTGCGCACATTATGGATCGCGGTTCTCCGGTCAGAGCTGATCACCGCCAAGAATAATCCAC